GAGAGAGAGGGAGAGTGGTGGTGTGTGTGTGTGTGTGAGAGTGTGTGTGTGTGTGTGTGAGTGTGTGTGTGTGTGTGTCTGTGAGTGTGAGTGTGAGAGTGTGTGTCTGTGAGTGTGAGAGTGTGTGTGTGTGTGTGAGAGTGTGTGTGTCTGTGAGTGTGAGAGTGTGTGTGTGTGTGTGTGTATGTGTGTGTGAGTGAGGGAGAGTGTGTGTGTGTGTGTGTGTGTGTGTGAGAGAGGGAGAGAGTGTGTGTGTGTGTGAGAGAGAGGGAGAGGGAGAGAGTGTGTGTGTGTGTGTGTGAGAGAGAGAGAGGGAGAGAGTGTGTGTGTGTGTGTGATAATGCATCACATCTCTTTTAAAGTGATTTTGATAAAAACAGACTCAAACTGTTGAAACCGTCACTCTCTCACTCACTGGAAATTGATTAATGGTGTTTCTATCAGTGTCTCTATTGAAAATATTATCATTTATCACAGACGCCTCACTCAGTGTGTGTGTGTGTGTGTCTCTCTCTCTCTGTTATGAGTGGCATAACTCACAGTCCTGTGTCTTCCTGTCATTCAAATCCCCTGGTGGCCAATCAGAGCTGCAGGGGGAGCGAGGCTCCGCCCACACGGGCTCATATTTCAGCGCTGACTGTGATGCATGAGCGACCTTCATCTCTCACATGTTTGTGATGCTCAGTCTGCTTATGTGATGGATTGATGCATCTGAATACATGTTGGTAAAGATGAGGCTTAGTGGTTTGGTCTGGTTCTGACGCGTTTTACACTTTTCCTAAATTCCATTTTAATGGTTAAATTAAATTTTAGTAATCAAAAAACATGTCTAGTTAATTGAAGTAATGAAAAATATAGCTTAACATTGGTTTATTAAAAGTCGAAGAAATATGACATTTTTAGGGCCATATGAAATCCATTTTTACTTTTTATTCATTTTCCACAATTTTGTTTGATCTTTTCCCAAATTCCATTTATTTATTTATTTTTCTGGATTCCTTTTTAATGGATAATTACATGTTAGTAATAAAACTTTCAGAATTTAACAACAATTTGTTGAAAGTCTAACAAAAGTTAAATTTTTAGGGCAATATGAAATATGTTTTAATTTTTTATTCATTTATTTATTATGAAATTCATTTTTTTCTCATTTTAAATCTCTGGATTTCATTTGAATGGTTAAATTAAATTTTATTATTAATAAAAAAAAAACATGTCTAATTAATTGAAGTAATGAAGCATACAGCCTAACATTGGTTTATTAAAAGTTAAACAAATATGACATTTTTAGGGCAACATGAAATACATTTTTATTTTTTATTCATTTATTAATTTTCCACAATTCTGTTTGATCTTTTCCCAAATTCCATTTTTTTTCCATTTATTGTTCTGGATTCCATTTTAATGGTTTGATTAAATGATAATCAATTTATGATTTAATACACATTTCAATGGTTTAATAAAATGTTAATCAAAAACCATGTTTAATCAGTTGAATTGTTACAATAATAATAATAATAATAATAACAGGGCCCTATGAAATGTTTTAAGAAGTTCTGTGCTGTCTTTTATTTTTGCATAAATTGTTATTTTTTCCCACATTTTGTTAAATTTTTTTGTGAAATGTAACAAAAATTACATTATTATGGCCCTATGATTGATTGGTTGATTATTTATGTTTTTCCAGTGTTTTCCATTTAAATTTTTTCTGAATTCTGTTTTAATTAAATTTTAATAATAAAAAAGCACGTCTTGTCAATTATTGAATTCATAAAACTTTAACAGTTTAATAATTCATTAGTTTTACCACAATAGGGAACTAAGAAATGTTTTATTTTTCAGAAATTTGGGGTTAATTTTTCTGGATTTATGATTTGATGTGAAGTTAGTATAAACAACTCTAATCAAATGAAGGCATAAAACATCTATTAATCTATTAAAACACAATAAAATGAAATCAGGCACGCAGAACATGCAGATTTAATGTTTTAATAGCAGTATTTTTGTGCTTTTAATATTCACGCACACTAGCCTCAATTTGAGTCATTGTACAACCCTACTTTTGATTTATTTCATGCAAAATTCTGCGTTATACTGTAAATTACAAATTTTAGTTTTTGACTGGATTCACTGAAATCATAGGACTTTATGAACCAAACCAGCCAGCTTTTGATT